GGGAGGGGAGGCCGCTCGCCGCCGCGCCGTGTAAGCGTTCCCGAGCGCTGCTGCGAGGCGCTGAGGGGGCAGCCCTGCGGGGAGTCTCTTTGCTGGAACGGGGATGAAAAGGCTGTGTTTGGGCGGAGGGGTGGCGTTTTCGTCAGGTCTGTTCTGAAGAGGTGGTCTCTACAGCGGGTATTGTAAGAATTTTTTGAAGAGGTCAATCTCGCGTAGTGATTTCGTAACTTAGTTGGCAGAACGGATTGGTGCTTGCTTCCTGGCAAGTGCCGGGATGCTAATTCTGAAGATTTTATATACTGAGGATTTAAGACCATCCTTATCATTACAGCCTATTGCATGCAATTGACTAAACGTGACCGTGCATGGCAAGCCAGCAAGTCTCATTCCCACAGTAAACAACATCTGTCCTTTCATCTCAAGCATGCTTTTAAATTCCAACTCATTGTTACAGTAGTATGGGAAAATATTGTTGTGTCTAGGTTGCAACAGGGGAAAGAGAGCCTAGGGTTCACCGTTGTAGAAGCACACGGGACTGAGGGGTGGTCCTAAGAAATGCTGAGTAGCTCCTGCTGCCAGCCAGAGTTAGAAGTCGGGCGTGATTATTTACAGCCATAAAATGAAGCAACCAAACCAAGCAGTTAGCTTCTGGAAGGAGTTTCAGTGAGCTCTCCAGCCTCGCTAAATAAGTCAGTGGTAAAACTGGAACTCAAATTTGGGAAGTGTGTGTGGATGTACTGGGAGCGGTATCCACACAAATTGGCAATTCTGCATTTTTAAGAAGTAAGTTTATATAAACAAATGACGGAATTTCACATGGATTCAGTTATCAAATACAAGCTCTTGCCCTCCAGACTTTTATAGCACCACTCCCAAATCAAAAATAAAAACTGCCTTTCTTTGTTCAACTTGTTATAAAAGAACAAAAATCCCTCCGACACCTTAGGAGCCGTAACAGACGCGGGTTTCTGAGCTTGCAGTCCTGCATCTTGCATGTCCTTCCGTCCCATGCTTAACGCTCATATTTGCTTTCCCCTCCGCCAAGCTGGCAGACCAGATGGGAAGAACAAAATGCTGTGTTGTAAACCTCTAACTGGTAAGCTTAGCGGAAGGAGGGGCATGAAGGGGATGAGCCAGAAAAGCAAATAGTTTTATTGGGACTACTGACCTGACTGCGGTAGCCAAGCGTGTATTTTAGTGGTGCCTGGAGAACAAAGCGGCAGGCCGTGCGGTCCTGGAGCCCTGCTCGCACCTCTGCAGTTGACCCTAAGGATGGAACACATCGACACTGCGTTGGTACAAAGCAACAATTTTCCAAGCAGAGACAGATGCTGTGCTTTTCTTTCTAACCAACTGGTGTAACAGCTTCTTTCTGGAGCATTCCTTGAAAGGCAGAGACAATTATTGAACTGAGCAATAGGAAAAGGGAATGGGTAACTGCCAAGGATGCATACATCAAGCGGTAACCGCGAGGAACGTTTACTCATAAAAGAATGCTGGCTGGCGTGTGGGATAACTGTTGATCTTCAGTAACAGAGTCCCTTTAATTCCCAACAGATTCAAAGATCACAAACAACTGTCCTGTAAAAACAAGGAGGGGAAAACAACCCCTGTCGGCAACAATGAGGTAAGTTGAGAGGGTTTTTTGTACACTAAAATAATATATGTACATCTTTTCAAGCATGGAACATGCACTGTGGAAAAAAAAATGATCAAAACTTCTGTGAAAAAACCACGCAGCTACTCTCTCAAAAATTGTAATTGGTGGGGCTGGCCTGGATCACTTAATTGGATCAGAATTCCCTGCTGAAAGCCTAGAAATTACTGATGGAGTAGCGTGAGTAATATGTATAGATGAGTAACTGTTTAGTAGTAAGCTTATTTCATCTTGTATTCAGTTCATGCTAATCTTGTGAGTTGAGGGGGAAGAACAGATGCGGGTGACGCATCTGAGGTGCAAACGATGGAACGCAGTGGCTGCCGGATCCCGCCGAGGTTACCAGGTAGAAATGTCGGGAGCGCTGCCTCAGAGGCATGAATGTTGGGGCGACCTTTGTAGGCGCTGCTTTTTAAGAACTGTCTAGTTCCAACCTCGGGAGGATCCAGAAACCCCTGCCTTACACCAAGGCAGTTAGCCGGTACGTGGCACCCAGCATCTGACGCTTCGCGTTTCCACTGAGTTCTAGATTGAGCAGTCCAGCAGTTCCTGACCATGTTGCGTTCCTACCCTACTCCATTTGGCACAGGCTTTTCTGCTCCACCTGTGTTAATAGCCTCAGTTAGTATGATCAGAATCATATTTTTCACATTAATAACCATTATTGAGCAGATACACAAATAAAATGTCCAGCAAATCAGCCATAAAAGATTGCTCCCTCTGTGTATGGTGCCTGAGCGATGGAAGCAAGCGTTTAGCGTCCTCCTGTCTGCCAGAGCTCTTGAGGAGGCACCATCTCCCCCTTTTGCTTCCCAGCTAAGGCAGAGCTCCTGCAGCGCTGAAAATACTGAGTCTCTGTACAAATTCGCTTTCTAATTTCAGCTGGATGGGTTCGGTGAGGTATATAAAAGTTCAATCAAAACTGCGGTGCTGAGAAAATGAGAGACAATGAACGATCTATAGAATTACTCTACGTTCATTTTCACGGAACAATGAAATTCAAAGATGACAAAAAAAAAGTGGAAAGCAAGTCAACAGAGAAACTGAGTACCAGAAGTATGTCTTGATAGTTGAAAGTAATCGGCCCAAGTCCTAAAATCTTCCTTATTTATTTACTTAAACAAAAGTCTCCTGGATATTGTGGGAGTTTTGCTCAAGTACAGGAGATAACTGTACATGGGATTGATGACTTTTCCTTTCCTCTTAACTTGTTTTAAAGGTATTTTCACTTCTGTAAGCTTCCGGGAAGAGTTATGGGAATCCGCCTGCTACGCTTCACTTCTGTGGTGATCATTGTCTTGCTTCTGGTGGCAGGTGCTTTAACAGCTTTGCTTCCCAACATCAAAGATGACAAAATGCCCAATTTGAGAAGGGAACCAAAAACCCAGAGTCAGTCTGCCTTGGATTCATTTACTCTTATTATGCAGACCTATAATAGAACTGACTTACTGCTAAAGCTTTTAAATCACTACCAAGCCATCCCCCACCTACATAAGGTAATTGTGGTGTGGAACAACATTGGTGAGAAGACACCAGAGGAGATGTGGAATTCCTTGGGGCCTCATCCTGTCCCTGTTGTCTTTAAAGTTCAAACTGTAAATCGCATGAGGAACAGACTCCAGAATTTCCCTGAGCTGGAAACAAAAGGTAATCAGCAGTTCGTATCGCTACTACTAATGTTATTTTCACACTTAAAATCCGAATGCTAAAAGAGAGATGGTTTGAGTTATACTATGTAATAAATCCATGGATCTGTTGGGCCACGTAACAGAATGTGGGTAATACAGAAGAAACCCATGTTATGGTAGCAGATGCACACCAGCAGCAGCAGCCAGAGGCTGTCAATGAGGAAAGTCAGGAAAAAAAGAAGGATGTCAAATGCATTTCATAAGCTTTCGCAACTGTGCCCGTTCTCTATTTCCCTTGTCAGGCACACGTACGTAGTTCAGCCCCTCTTCCCTTTATAGTCTCAACACAGAGTCATAGTGCATGTATTTGTTGCATCTATCTATATAGTGCATATATCTCTGCACTAATTTGGACATAAGTCATCTGGTAAAGACTTGACTTAATCCATTCATTTTAAGACTTAAGTTCTCCACATGTTCTGCTCTTCAGAGAAACTTCCCTCCCTAGCAGTCTGGCTTTCTGTCTCAAATCAAGCATCCTTTTTAAGAGTATTTTCCCCAGTCTTTTGCCTATTCATCTAAATAGTCTTCCTAAGTTTTGGGAAAAAAACCCCAAAACTATGTTGCATTACAGACCTGACCTTACTCATGATTAGTAAAGGTAATTCTATTTACTGCCCCCTTCCTAACATACCTTGCTACTCAAACCCCATGGCTTCTAGGAAGACTAGGAACTTCAACTTCCCAAATGTTTTATTTGCTGTAATAGGACTTATTCTGACTACAGACTTAAACAGCTTTAATGCATCTGGAGTTCTGATCTAAGAATACCTTTCCTTTTCCACTTCCTCATAGGCTTTTGCCTAAAATTTAAGGCAAGGATTCTTCCTCCTGTAGTTAATCGTATCGAATACTGCCCATGCAATTTATTAAGCTTGCTTATTTAGAACTTGTAAGTAGTGAGGAGACGGGCAAAATTTTATACTAAGAATCCCATAAAATTCTCATACATTAAAGAATGGTATCTAACTCTTTATTCTAGTTGTATTTCTACACAAGATTAGTAGGGTTTTAAGTTGCTTTGCCAAACACTCCAGGTTTCCCAACACATGTCTGTCCTGTACAGTCTGGCAAATAATTTAAAACTTGGGTTTACTCCCAGTTACCACAAAGCTGCAACCTTGCTTTAGCTTTGAAATCTAAAAGTTTTCTCAATCTACTTTCAAGTAGTCACAATTCAGTTCTGCAGTTTGGCTTAATGGTTATAGAAGTTTCACAGCTAGCTTGTCAACTACTGTGCTGCATACTGTGCTCATGTATTTAATCTTTCAATAAGTTAAAAGTTGTTCTTTTTTTTTTTTCCTCCCTCCAGCTGTTTTAATGATGGATGATGATACACTAGTCAGTGCTCATGACCTTGCTTTTGCCTTTTCTGTTTGGCAGGTAATGTTTTGCATTGCCTTGGCAGTTAGTATTTGTGAGTTACAATTGAGATTTAATGTTTTTAATTAGAGTAATGCTATATCATAATGTTTTACCAGTGATTTTCTAGGTATAAAGTTAAATTTTAGAAGGATTGAAGTATTGAACAGTAGAAATTGCAAAAATATTCTTCAATAATAGCTATACCTGTAATCTATAACTTTCAAATTTTTAACTCTTCTTGTACATGAACACTGAAGTTTCTGACTGCTGAATTTATTTAAATTGCTAGTCAGCTGCAAAACAAGTGTGAGTTTTTTTTTCTCGAAGAGGAACTGTAAACTTATTCTGAGTGCCAGAGATACAGCTGCAAATTGTGGATAGATGTTTCTTGGCACTACGTGGTCATTGTGTCAGTTTTGCAAAACTGTATTTAATTGCAACACTTATGCAGATCAGAGGACCTATCCAACAATGTCACTCCTTCCTGGCAATAATCTTGTGTTCCTCATTCAAAAAAACCCATAAATCTCTGTTCTGAAAATACTTAACACACATTTCACAGCGTGGGCTTCATTTTGATTTTTTTAAAATTTCTTTTTTCTTTCAGCAATTTCCAAAGCATATAGTGGGATTTGTTCCTAGAAAGCACATTTCTACTCCTTCGGGTGTATACAGTTATGGCAGCTTCGAATTGCAGAACCCTGGATTTGGAAACGGAGATCAGTATTCTATGGTTCTTATCGGCGCAGCATTTTTTCACAGTGGGTATTTAGAAGACTTTCAAAGACAGCCAGAAGCTGTTTACGCCTTAATAGATGAAACTCAAAATTGTGATGATATTGCCATGAATTTTCTGGTAGCCAAGCATACTGGAAAGCCTTCAGGAGTGTTTGTGAAGCCTGTTGATATAAGAAATTTAGAAAAAGACACTAACAGTGGCTATTCTGGAATGTGGCACCGAGCGGAGCATTTGTTACAGAGGTCTTACTGTGTAAATAAACTGGTTAATATTTATGATGGCATGCCTTTAAAATATTCTAATATCATGATTTCTCAGTTTGGTTTTCCTAATTATGCCAATCACAAAAATAAAATGTAAGCCAATGAATTTAAGGGGTTAGATGTTAAACAATACTCAGTGAATTGGACTGAGTTCAAGGAGGGAAGAAGGTGTAATTACTGCATCTTGGCAATCCTTATTTGTAGCCTCTGGATTTTTTCCATTTGGCTTTTTATGTATATTTTTTTTTTCCTTACTAATTCTCCAAGGTAAGTTTTGAGAAAACTTAAAGAATATATACTAATGTTTAGCTGTGATAAAATCATCCTCTTTCCTTAAAACCTGAAAAGCTATTACAATTCATTAGGCCAGTTCTTCAGAAACACGCAGACAAAAATGCACTCCTACCCTTCAGTGCTTAGGTTTTGATTTTATTTTTTTTTAATACATGTATCTGGGCAAATGAGGTCTAGGCATATTTTTGATAGTTGTATGTCGAGATGCTTCCTTGCCTTCCCCCTCCTCTCCTACCCAGTTCCCAGTGAAACTGTGGAGGGGCTACAGTAAACTGTTGGCCAGGCTTCTAAACTCCTGTACAGAACCCCTGTGAAGTTTGTATATAAGCTATTCTGTATTTGGGGATGTTTCTGAAGCTGCTGTGAAAGCAAGCCAGAAAAGGGTACCTCACCTTGATCTCAGATAGTCCTAAATCCATTGCCTACAATACCTGCTACTGCTGAGATCGTGCAAAATGATCTCTGACCTGGCTTTTTCTCCCATTATTAATTTGCCTAGAGTTGCTGAAACACTGCAAGCAGCTGAAAGGTAAAACCTAACAGTTGGAAATGTAAGAAACGTGAATACATGGAATACGAAACTTATATAAGCAGCCAGAAGAAACGGGTGGGATATCACTTATTAATAATCTCTTTAGTACTTAATTTTATTTTGATGTCTTGCATGTACATTGTTACAAAACTGTGCCCAATAAAATCCTCGCTTATTTTTAAAAATGTCTTATTTACAATTCCTAGTAAGAGCAAGCTGTTCTACATTTATTACAGAGTGTACATTTTGTAATACTACGGGTCTACTGTTTTTTAACTACTCTTTCAAACGAGTCTGTACTTTTTGGTTCCTTTCATCTCTCTCTTTGATGGAGATGCAATGAATGGGTAAAGCATTATAAAAAGAAGCATTTTAAGGTACAGTGATATTTGACAGGGCTGGGCTATTATCAGTCTCTGAGTTCCCTGGCTTCATCTATAGCAAGAAACAGAGCTATTGTTAACAGCTTTTGTTAGATTGGGACTCTGTAGTTCTGGAAACATTGTGTTAATGTGGACAGGACAAACCTTTTCCATTGCTGCTCCAGAACTTTTTTGTGGTACAGGGGAAGGAACAAAAGACAGTGATTTTCCTGGATCGTGGAGAAGAATCAAATCTGGCATCCAAAGTAGAATCGGTTTCATCTGCATCAGCTTTTAATTGATTCTTAGTGTCAGTTCAAAGGTAATGAACGGCGTTTTTCACAGCTAATACCTAGGGCAGAAGTAGCATCTGCACAAATGGTGTATAATTTTATCATTTTTTGTATTAAGTTAGCTGAGCAAAAAGTGGTTGAAAAATGTGACAAGCTCTTTACAGCAGGGCTGATTCTGGGTGTGAGTCTTTGGGGGAACGGAGGATTCTTTTGCCTTGTTCTGTCAGCGCTAAAGGATTTGGTTTCTGTTCAGTGAAGTCTTCCTAGTACTTTTGCAAGATTTAAAGGGCAAAATCCTAAAATGGCGATGTAAAATCTGCTCAATTTTGTTGTAATAGTGAAAAGTAGCTTTTAATTATTGTGCCGTAGTGATAAGTAGTATACAAACTGGTCTATGATCTTCCCAGAAATGCAACTTTCCTGGTAGTAGCTCACTGCATTTCATTTCCCTACCGGTCTTTTGTACTTTCTGTTCTGTGCAGTATCAACTAGTATTGTGAAGACTCACAGATGTTGTTTACCTTACTTTTAAAATGTGAAATGAACTGTCAACTCAGCCAAACCCTAGTATTGGGTTCTTTGTTGGGGGGAAGGAGTTGCTTTGCATTGGTTTTTTTATTTGTGTTCTGTATCAGTGAAAGAATTAATAGAACAAGCTTTTACTATACTGGTAAATTTAATTCGTACCATTGTTGAATAAAATACATAAAACAGATTTGTGATGTATTTTCAGATCATTGACCAAGATTGTCAGTGTTAGATGTCTAAAGTAAGCTCACAGTTTGCATACAGATGAGCAGCACCAAGGTTTCATTTTTTAAAAATCGTCTACTTGTTGACACATACAGTCACACTTAAGTAAGGCCCACTCATGAGGAGAAAAAGCCATCAAAAGGCACAGCCCTACCAATTAGGCTTAGATAGCAAAGAAAACTCAAGGCTTCAGCTCTAGCCATAACTTGTTGAGCTTAGGAACCAAAAGGGGTTTGTTTATTTTTTGAAAGGCTGGTAGCTTTTAATCCCTTGATCATTATAAAAGCACCTTAAGAGTCTTTAATGAAATACATGACTGAGATTTTATATTTTTAGCAAAATAATATGCATGTAATGATTTCTTCTAAGAAATTATCTAGATGTCATTTGGAAGTATTTTTGAATCTAAACAGTTCATCACCACCTCTGAATGTTCTGTAAAAATTAATGTTTATGCAATGCAGGATTTAAAAAACGGTATCTAAAAGATAGATTTTAAAAATCTGCGTTGAAAACATCAGGCTATAGTCTTGAAATGATGCAACAGGACTACAAGAAAATTGCTTCTTTACCTACGGTTAAAAGAATGCCACAAGATGTCACTGTAGCCTTGATATTTGGTATCATCAACTGTTAACAATCTAGTAATTGGAATCGATTATAACAAAATTGTATGAGGTAAACCGCTAGCTTTAAGAATGTTTTTACAAGGTGAAATTCATTAGATAATCATACTAAAAGCTATGAGACAATACTGGAACTAAAAAAAACCATGGGGTTATTTTGCACATATTTTTTATTTTGTACATATTTTTACAGGGAAGAAGTGAAAAATTCTTTCAAGTATTTTCTATGCTTACAAAGGCTCTAGCTAATTGCCATAAATGAGAACTTACTTACATGCAACCAAAACAATATTTGTAATTTTGCAAAAGGTATATAGGTGGTATGCAAACAACATTTGACAATGGGGCTTCAGTTTCCAGTCACGTTTGCCTCCAAAGTTCACCAGCCTATCTAGCTGGATTTACAAATAACAGGCTTTAACACAAGCTGTACCTGGGGATTCTAGATACTGGACACGTAGCTTGTTACACTGCTCCACCTTTGCTTCCGTGCCCAAGATAGCTTAGTTAAAGCTAATTGGAGTATGCTCCTACAAAGTCCCCTCAAGCAGAGCGTAGCCCAGCCTTAGAAATGTCCATTACATTGAACTGTAGTGGAAGTCTGAGTAAAAAAGGGTTTTAAACCCCACTATGGTTCTGGAGGAAATACAATGATACCTCTTCTCTCATACAGGGTATGTTACCCCTTGGAGAACTGCTTGTAAATAAAAAATGAACTATTTTATTAATGAAGGGTTAAATAAAGTGAAAGTCATATGGAACAATATAGGAAAAGATAAACACATTGATTTCCATGAAAAGCAAGTACCCTCCAACAACCTTTATTTAATTTGCTCTTACAGAAGACTACGGTGTCACGTCTTGCAAGCATCCTATATGGAATGGTACGTACTACAGAGAAATGAGGTTTCTTACCTAAGTTCACAGGACCAGGCCCAAGGAGAGTCCTATTCAGGAATATTAGTTCTGGAGCTATGAAAAAAAAGGAAAAAAAAGAGGCATGTAAGAACACAGGTACAAGTTATTAGAACCAATACCAAAAATAAGTAAGAAACTACAAAACAATTGCATGAGAGAAGTATTTTCTGCGGTACTTCAGCTTATTTGCAGGGCTGTCAAGGTTATCCAGTGCTTGTGACACTAGATTAAAGACTGAAGGGTCAAAAGTGTTTCATGCTTGTGTTTAGCCTCATCTGCAGACACACTAAAATAAATCCCACGAACTGGTAGTTACAGTAGGTTACAGTGTCAGGAAAACATGGTGATAATAATGTGGACCTCAGGGCTGCCTACTGCTTTGTATTACAATATCTTTTTAAGGTGTTTTAAGGGTGGGATTTTTTGTTTTGGGGAAGAATAGCATCTTTTTTTTTTTTTTTCTCTTTAGGTACCTCTCCTTTGCAACCCTTTGCTTGTGGAGTTGTAAAAATGAGATGGACCATCTGCTCTGTTTGGCGCTTCCTAATTCTTTCTATGCAGGAGAGTGAGAGAAGAAAGGCATTTCTAATACTTTTAATGCTTCTCTGGCAGTAACTTAATGGCAGACTACAAGCTACTTCAGCTTTTGCAAACGAACCACCAGAAAGTCAGTATTTCACTTTAAAAAAACACAAACCACAAGCTACAAGTAATTTTGTGTAGTTTTACGACAGCCTTAGAAGCATACGTGAAACTTCATGGCTGGGTGACTTCTCGGGAGGAGCAAGAGCCCGCAGCTCGGAGCGGTGCGTGAGGAGAGCTCCACGCCACAGGGGTGCGCGTCGTCCCCTTCTGTTCGCCCGCGGCTTCCTCGACATCTTGCTCCCCCCTCAGGTGTCCCCAGCAGACGACGCTGCCCGGCAGAGACAAATCCTGGTCGGAGGAAGGGAGCGAGTGCCCAGCAGGTGAGAGGAACCCCCGCGGGCGGGAAAGGAGGCGCCG